CAAGAAAACCCAGAGGACGCAGTGTCTCGTTCCCTACTCAGGGAACCATGGTTACATAAGTAACCTGAGACGTTCCCTTTCAAGGGAACTTCGAACTGCGTCCTCTAGGGGTCGCTATGGGGAACGGTATACCCACGCTGCCATGCTGAGGGGAGTGCATGCCAGAAACCATGGCGAGCACTAAAGGCTGATTTATACTTCTGCGTCGGACCTACGCCGTAGCTTACGCATAGATGCACACCCATACGCCGTAGCCTGACGTGCACCTCTCCAAAAATCTAACAGTGCATCAATTCTACGCGGACCGCAAGCGCTGTGATTGGTCTGCTAGAACCCCTCCCTCCGTATGTACTTTTGTATGTAGTTTTGTGTGTGTTTACGTGCACTTTAACATATTTACATGTTACACCTTCTTATATAAAATAAAACAAAGCAAAGAACAAGTGTCTTATCATTTATTATACTACATAGCATTATACATCAGTAGTTGTCCGCGACAAACAATGATGATCTGCCATGGTACAAGTCCTTGTGGAGATTGAAAGAATGCCATCTTCTCCTGTTCCATTGTTGTCTCCTTATTGTTGTCTCCTTTTTGTAGTTTTAAATAATGATTTGATATTTATTTGCCGCCGTCACGGCTATAATGCTTCTCCGACGAGCCGCTTCTTCTTCGGCTTTTGCCGTGGTACTGCGGGTTACACCAGCAACATGCCCGTGGACACTGCAGAATAGCAGTTTGCATGTGTACTGCACGTCGACGCGGACAACGACGCAGAAGTATAAATGAAAACTGACGCATAGCCTACGGCGTAAAGGCTATGGCGTAGGTCCGACGCAGAAGTATAAATCAGCCTTTAGTGGTCCTGGCCAAACTTCCACAGACTTCCTGAGCGAGATCCAGTTCACGGACTAAAAGAGTGTGTAAACTTATTGAGATCGAAACATATCAACCAGTAATTTCATTCCCAGTAACGGACGGTAGAAAGTTCAGAAATTAATGGTATGCGAATTATGACAACAGTCGCACAACTGATCGTTTATTTTTTCCTCACGTGTCTCACCACAATGATTAAAATGGGACACATTTCAAGTGACACAGGAAAAAAACACGGAAAACTTAAATGAACATCAGAAAAGCAGCACGTGCATTTCTGGTTAAATGAAAGGCCATCTAGGGCTGTGACGGTGGCAGATTTTTACCACCGCGGTGGTAATGGACCAACTACCGCCGGTGGCGAGGTGTTGATATATAAAAATAAAAAAAATTATATATTATATATATATATATATATATATAAATGGTGTCAAAATTAGCACGTTAACGCAGGCGATTATTTTTTCAGTTAAACGC